TCCAGAGGGAGACGAGAAAGTTTTCGCTTTGAAGTCGGACCAAATCTACAGGGGGTTCGCGAAGGTAAGAGAACGGCTCAAAGAAAAGTTCAGGCATAAATGCAGGTCTTGTTCTGTGCCTTGAGACCGAGTTTCCTGGGATTTCAGGATGGAAGAAAGAACAAACTCTCTGCATCCAAAAAGAAAAGAAGAAGAAGAAGAAGAAAAAAAGATTGCACTTCCTTGCAACTTCATCTCTTTACTTAATTAAATAATTCATGACCTTCTCAGAACAGTCCGCAGCACAACCTAGAATGCGGAAAACAACAACAACAACAAAACAGTACGATTGTGTGTTATAGCGGAATAACACGAGTTTGGAAGGGATCTTGGAGATCTTCTAGTCCAACCTCCTGTTCAAGAAGGAGAACCTGTAAGTACCATTTCAGACAAATGGCTGTTCAATTTCTTTTTCTTTTTCTTTTTTTTTGATTTGATTTATATGCCGCCCTTCTCCGGAGACTCAGGGCGGCTTACAATGCGTTAAGCAATAGCCTTCATACTTTTGTATATTTTATACAAAGTCAGCTTATTGCCCCCACAATCCGGGTCCTCATTTTACCCACCTTAGAAAGGATGGAAGGCTGAGTCAACCTTGAGCCTGGTGAATTTTGAACTTGCAGTAATTGCAGGCAGCTGATGTTAATAACAGTGCTTTAGTCTGCTGCGCTACCAGGCTCCTGGCTTCTTCAAAATCTCCAGTGATGGAGCACCCATAACGTCTGGAGATAATTTGTCCCACTGATTAATTATTCTGTCAGGAAGTTCTCCTCCTCTTCGTCCTCTTCCTCCTCCCTTCTAGCACTGATGACAGCTGGGTCATGAAACGTTCTGCAAGAAAACCACCAACTCAGAGAGCACCAAGGACCCCACAGTTGTCCTCCTTCCTTCCTTCCTTCCTTCCTTCCTTCCTTCCTTCCTTCCTTCCTTCTTCTCTTCTTTTTCCTTCCATCCTCCTTCCTTCCTTCCTTTTCTTCTTTTTCCTTCCCTCTTCATTCTCCTTTCTCCTTCCTTCCCCTCTTTCCTTATTTTTCCTTCGTTGCTCTCTTCCCATCGTTTTCTTTCCTCTTTCCATTTCTGCCATTTGTCAGACGTGGTGTAGGGTCTCCTGCTTGAGTGGAGGGGGGTTGGACTAGATGACCCATAAGGTCCCTTCCAACTCTGTTAATCTGTTCATTAATTAATCTGTTCCTTTCCTGTCCCTTCTTGCATGCTCAAATGCAAAAGGGGAAACATTTCTCCTTTCGTTTTGTTTTTAGTTTGTTTTCCGAGCCTTCTGGCAACGAAAATGGAGTCGGGTGGGTGGGGAACGACTGGAAACAACGAAAGATCGGCCCACAGACCCTCTGCCAGCTGTTTCCAGGGCAGCCTCGCGGGCCGGATCCTTGACTTACAACCACTCATTTAGTGACCGTTCAAAGTTGCAGCGCCGTTGAAAAAAATGACTTGCAACCATTTTTCACACTTACGACCGTCGCACCATTCCCCACGGTAACGTGATCAAAATTCAGAGGCTTGGCGAACTGGCGTGTATTTATGACGGTTCCAGTGGGGGAAGCCAGATTCGTTTAATCGACCGTGTGACTAACTTTGGCAACTGCCGTGACTCCCTGAACGACGACAGCAAGAAAGGCGGTGAAATGAAGCAAAGCTCACGTAACCACCGTCTCACTTAGCGACGTACGCTTTGTGACTCAATTGCGGTCGTAAGTCGAGGACTTCCTGCTACTCCCAAAAGTCGATATGGCAATCGTGATCACACAATGGAAGTTGTACATTAAAAACAAATAAAAGTGGAGTTTCGAGTGCCTGGTTGCAGTAGGAAAAGAATATGATCCCATCAAAAAGAAATACCAGCTTTCTGATTTCTGTCCACAGGTCACCAAATAAATAGGATTTAAGAGATCTAACGGTTGAGATGAGTGTATTAAGTTGTCAGTTGAAACAACATTTGACGGTCTATCTATCTATCTATCTACCCTTTTTCCCCCAAAATAAGACATCCCTTGATAATAAGCCCAATCAGGCTTTTGAGTGCATGGCAGTAAGGCCAAGCGCTTATTTCAGGGTTCAGAAAAAATATAAGACAGGATCTTATTTTTGGGAAAACACGGTGCATACACACACACATACACAAACACATGTCATACACATTATACTGTAGGAAGTTAGCACCCACCCCTCTCCTAGAAAAATGAAATATTCTAGGAAATATTAAAAAGGCAGAATATGATATTTCCCTGGATGAGAAATGGAGAAACGTGTTTTTTTAAAGGCAGGAAGCAGACTCACTCTTAATAGCCCCCACCCTCCTCAATAGCCCACAGCAGATGTCAGCACTTAAGAGATAAAGAGATAACTAGGTCTATTCATAGGCAAATTCCCTCACCCAAGATCCAACAAAGGTAGGATTTGCCCTCTACACATCTAGCAACAGAACTCACTACCTGGGGAAATTGTATCACCCAGCAAGGCTCAACCAAGCTTGGGACTCAAAAGACAAACGATAAAGTTACCCCTGCATGGCCCCACGGGAGTCTGACAACCAATCAGAATACAAGCTCAAATTCAAAAGCCCAGAGAAGGCATAAAACCGGGGCACTCTCAGCATCTCTGCCCTTTTTGGCCCAGGACCTCAAAAGCATGTGGTCCTGTCCACCATTAAACCATCTTTCCAAGTAGTCTCCATGTTTCCAGTGTCTTTCTTCCCACTTGGAACTGAACCCAGATGGACATTTTCTTCCAACAATATATATACACATTATAAACTATGTGTGTGTGTTTATATTTTATATATATATATATATATATATATATATATATATATATATATATATATATATATATATATATATATATATATATATATATATATATATATATATATATATATATAAAAATTAATTTACGCGGGAGAAAACCCAAATAACCAAAGACCTACATACAACCACCGCGAAAACCCTATATATATATATATATATGTTTATATATATGTTTATATATATGTTTATGTAAGTTTTATATATTATAATAAACTATTCTAAAAATACGGGTTCCAGGTATATTAGTAAATAAAAAGAAGCAGACATACTTCATTAAACTCTGTAATGGTAGTTTAATACTCTGATGATGTCAGCAGATGGCTGACGAAAGCTTAGTAAAATAAAATTTTAATTCTTTTAAAATTTTAAAATGTTAAGTTCCGGAATTGGCAGTATGTCTGCTTCTTTTTTTACATATATATACATACACACACACACACACACACACACACACACACACACACACATATATATACACATACACACACACACACACACACACACACATATATAGACACACACCCCTTTGTTATATAGGAAAAACCTAGCTAAAAGAAAAACACACATAAATCCTACGAAGAAGTAAGAATATATATATATATATATATATATATGCACATATGAATATGTACATATGTAAAGAAAGTCCTTGACTTACAACAATTCACAACAAATTTACAACAGCATTGAAAATAGTGACTTATGGCTATTTTTCACACTTATGACCATTGCAGCATCCCCATGGTCTCGTGATCAAAATTCAGACACTTGGCAACTGACTCTTATTTACGACGGTTGCAGTGTCCCCGGGCTCATGCAATTCCCCTTCTAACAAGCAAAAACAGCAGGGAAGCTAAATTCGCTTAATAACTGTGCGTCTAACTTAATGACCGCCGTGGCTGGCTTAGCAACCGTGGCGAGAAAGGCCCTAAAACGAGGCAAAGCTCACTGAACAAAGGTCTCGCTTAGCAACATAAATTTTGGCCTCAGTTGTGGCCGTAAGTCGAGGACGACCTGTGTAGGTGTATTTTTAACACAACCGTAAGCACCCCAGGCCGATACAGCAACCTTGTGTGATGCTGGAGAGACTAAGAAGCAGGAAACAGGCAACACAACTCTTGAGGATCTGGTAATTGAATTCACCAAGGATAACAAGGTTGACCCCCATCTGGAATTCAACCAGGCGTTCATTGTCTAAGTGCTGTTTGCATTAATTCTAATTGCCCATATAAGGCAATTCGACACGGTACCGCTGAGAGAATAAGGAACAGGTAACTAATGAGTAGTGTCGGCTTGTTTGTACTAACAACATCGGTGAAGAAAAGCGATGGAGATAGTCTATGACTTATGACCACAACTGAGTCCAAAACAAGGGTGAAATGCTCCCGGTTTGGATCGGATCGCCCGATCCGGTAGCGATGGCGGCGGGTGGTTTGGAGAACCGGTAGCAAAAATCCCTGCGCCCCCACCCCCATGCCCAGCTGAGCCGCGTGATCATCAGAGGCTGTTTTTTTTTTTTTTTTTACTTTTAAAAGCATTTTTTCTACAACCTCTTCAGCTGAAGAAGTTGTAGGAAAAAAAATGCCTTTAAAAGCCTCTGACATCCCAGTTGAGTTGCCTGATAGTCAGAGGCTTTTAAAAGCATTTTTTTTTCCTACAACCTCTTCATCTGAAGAGGTTGTAGAAAAAATGCTTTTAAAAGCCTCTTGACGATCTCAGCTGAGCCGTGCGATCATCAGTGGTGGGTTGCCCCCGGTTCGCACCGGTTCTATAGAACCAGTAGTAAAACCGGTGGGAGGCTCCACCCACTGACCCTGACGTCATCAAAATGCTTCTGCGCTTGTGCGCGAGTGAAGAGAGCGCATATGCGCGGCCCCGTTGCGAACCGGTAGTAAAAGTAAGTAGAACCTACCCCTGCTTGCATGGCCAACTCGATGTCACTCACAGCAAGGTGCCACCCCACCAAGCCACGCTCACAAAGCCACAAGTACAAAACCGGTAGTAGAAAAATTTGAATCCCACCATTGATCATCAAACCTTTTTAATCACCTCCAAAGCGATTTCCCCTAGCAGAAACGAAGACATTCATCAGGAATACGCATCTCACAAAGATTCACAAGGCTGACAAAAATTAGATACCTGGCTCCATCACAGCAGGTTCAGGAACAATGAGGGCCAGAAACTCTGCGGATCTGTTCTCGGGGTCTTCCTCTCTTCTACTTTTGACGGCCGTGCAAAAAACCATTCTGAGAAAGAAAAGCAATGTATATTATTAGAACCCACGGAAAGCACAATTAAAACTCAGCAGTCTGTTTGCAAGCCAATGAGACACAAAATTAACCAATTAATTAGGAGGAGAAATAGCAGGCTGAATTTCCTCGGGCTGCCAACACTTTCTAGATTATTAAGGTTATTCAGGTTAATCGTTGTCATCATCCTCATCATCATCCTCCATTGCATTGATGAGCTGTCAGATCAACCACTGGACAGTAGCAAGCCAAAGCAGGAGATTTTTGAATCTTGCAAAGAAATAAAATTTGTAAATTATTCGAGCCAGCCAGAAATAACTATCTTATATTAGGCAAGCACTCCAGCTGTTTATATGGAGAAAAAAATGTAGATTTTTTTTTAGGACTGTATCAGTATTAGCAGGGGAGGGATTCAGCCGGTTCGTACCAGTTCAGGCGAGCCAGATGTTAATTTTAATCTGGTTCGCCGAACCGGTAGTTACAAGGACGGGCTGACCCCGCCCACCCCACCCCGCCCCTCCCAGGAGTCTCCACGCAGCCCGTTTTGGATGCCAGGTAAGGGCAGGGACCGCGCGGAGGCTCTGGGAGGGTGAAAAACGGGCCTATCGGAAGTCCGGAAATGGGCCTGTTTCTGGCCTCCAGAGGGCCTCCGGTGCCCCCGGGAGGCCATTTTTGCCCTCCTGGAGGCTCAAGGAAAACCTCCGGAGCCTCGGTAGGGCGAAAACGCCCCCCCCCCGCCCTGGTGCAGGAAGTCAAGTCGGCCACGCCCACTCAGCAACCAGTTGTTAAATTTTTCGGTCCCACCCCCCGAGTATTAGAAATTCTGTGGAATAAGAAGCAGACGTTCCAATTTTTAAAATGGAGGTTTTTAAGAAAAGAGTGGACAGCCACTTGTCTGAAATGGTATAGGGTCCCTTCCTTGAGCAGGGGGTTGGACTAGAAGACCTCCAAGGTCCCTTCCAGCTCTAGTCTGATTGACTGACTTAAGACAGAACGAATCTCCTTCTCAGTTTGGAAGGAATCCTAAACAGAACTGAGCCCTAAGTAAATAAATAAAATTTCAAGGATATGTTGCAATCAAACTTCCAGGCATCACCCTCAATGAGGATGAAGCCACAGGGGTAGAATCTGTCCGAAGGAGAAAGCACAACTTGAAAAAAATATTTCTAAAGATCAATGATTAAATACATTATCATGGGAACTGCCTAGAAAGATTAGAAAATAGATTTATTGCACCAGGAGGGGTGGGTGGGAAATGGAGCTGGCCACCAGCTGAAGAATTTCCTGCCGATTGTGCATATTTCGACATAAATCGAAATGGCAGAGAACGTACCTAATACTCTTCCTATTTTCCCCACAACAACAATCCTGTGAGGTAGGGAGAGAGAGGGGGGGGAGAGAGAGACTGGCTCAAAGTCACCCAGTCAGTTTTCATGCTTAAGGCCGGACTAGAATTCACAGTCTCCTAGAAGATTGGCTTAGTCATCTAACCAGCTTTCATGCTTAAGGCGGGACTAGAACTCACAGGCTCCTGGTGATTGGCCTACAGTCACCCAACCAGTTTTCATGCTTAAGGTGAGACTAGAACTCACAGGCGCCTGGTGATTGGCCTACAGTCACCCAACCAGTTTTCATGCTTAAGGTGAGACTAGAACTCACAGGCGCCTGGTGATTGGCCTAAAGTCACCCAACCAGTTTTCATGCTTAAGGTGAGACTAGAACTCACAGGCTCCTGGTGATTGGCCTACAGTCACCCAACCAGTTTTCATGCTTAAGGTGAGACTAGAACTCACAGGCGCCTGGTGATTGGCCTACAGTCACCCAATCAGTTTTCATGCTTAAGGTAAGACTAGAACTCACAGGCGCCTGGTGATTGGCCTAAAGTCACTCAACCAGCTTTCATGCTGAAGGCGAGACTGGAAATCACAGACTCCTGTCTGAAATGGTATAGAGCAGTCATGGCTAACCTTTTTGCCGTCGCGTGCCAAAAGCGGGGAGAGCACGGGGGGGGTTGCGCGCATGCGTGCCCACATGCAATGCCCCCCGCCCCCCCATGCTGTGCACGCAACCCCCTGCGCTCCCCCCGCTTTTGGCACGTGATGGCCCGGTAGGCCTGTTTTCACCCTCCCCAGGCTCCAGGGCCTTTCTTGGAGCTTGGGGATAGCGAAAATGACCTTCCTCACCGACCCGGAGGCCCTCCGGAGGCTGGAAAAGGCTCGTTTCCCGACTTCCGGTGGGCCCTGAAGGCCCAAAAATCAGCTGGCTGGCGTGCGGATGCGCGCTGGAGCTGAGCTAGGGCAATGCTTGTGTGCCCACAGATATGTCTCTGCGTGCCACCTGTTTCACGCCTGCCATAGGTTCGCCATCCCGTGTATAGAGTGTTTCCTGCTTGAGCAGGAGGTTGGACTAGAAGACCTCCAAGGTACCCTCCAATTTTATTTTCTTGTTACTCTGTTATTTTGACATTTGTTTTAGAAGCCAGCTTTTTTGAAGAGCTGAAAATTCATTCGACTGGACAGGGACTTTCAAAATAACTCCGCATTTTCAGTTGTTTTGTAGGACTTTCAGGCAGGGAAAAAAAAAAAAATTAAATCCACAGGAAACCTGTCTTAAAAAAAAACAACACCCCCCCTTCCATTTCTTTCCAAAACTGCTCCTGCTGCCTTTAATTTAAATAAGATGTTTTAACGTGGCTTTCATGTTCTGGTTGCTTAGCATCCTTCTCATCTAGCATCTTAGGTGGACTTTCGCCCCCCCCCCCACCTCCCGCTTCATTCGGTGTGTTTAATGAATCATGCAGCCCAAAACCCCCAGATCGCTCGATGTCGAAAAACACCTCTTGATGTTTTGCGTGCAGCTCCCGCGGATTTCGGCCTGCTTGCCTCTCCTCGGGCGCAAGGCTGGCGGCATCACCGCTGGGCCCCCTGATTAATTCTGAATTATTTCCAGTTTCATCGTTCGAGGTGCCAAATCAGACGGATCAGTCCGCACACGCCTCGCATATTAAATCTCGGTGCAGAATAAAGTTAAGCTTTGGAAAGCGTCTCAGGATGGGGTATTGCCTTTTTTAAAAAAAAATAAGTTTTATTGGTTCCCCCCCTCCCCATTTACCATATCTTATCTTATACAATTAATCAAATTCAAATACATTTAACTCAATTACAGTTTTTGCCAAAATCTTTCTCCTTTTCTTTTATCGTGTCCCAATATTTCTATGCTTGCTTACATAAACAACATCTTCATTTGCCCTTACATTCTAATTATTGCTATTTATTCGTATTTATTCTCTTTTATTCTTTAAACAATTCATTTTTTATCTTAATATCTTTATATTTGTTCGGGGTTGCCTTTCTTCCATTTCATCTTTTTTATTGTACAGCAATCTTTCTCCTCAAACCTACCACCTCCCTCTTTTCTTTCCTTCCTACTTTCTCTTCCCCTCCTCTTCTTCTCCTGTTGTTGCTGAAGCATCCAATAATATGCCCGGGGATCCAAACATTTCCCTCTACCCTTTTCCCCCTCTCTTCAGTTGCAAAGTGCAAAATCACATCGTGTTTGCTGAGGAAATTTGTCTTCTGCAAAGTTTTAAGGTAAAAGAGAAGGCAGGGATCGAAAGTGAGAGACGAGGAGGGGAAGGAAGGAGAAGGAGGAGAGGAAGGAGGGGAAGACAGTAAGGGGGAAGAAGAAGAGGGAAAGGAGGAGAAAGGAGAAGAAGGAGGGGAAAGAATGAAGGAAGGGGAAGAGGAAAAAGAGAAGGAGGAGAAGGAATGGAAGGAAGGAAGGGGGAAAAGGAGAAAGGGAAGAAAGAGAAAGGAGAAGGAGGGGAAGGAAGGAAGGAGAAGGAGGAGAGGAAGGTGGGGGAGAAAGGAAGGGGTAAGAGGAGAAGGAGAAGGAAAGAAGGAGGGAAGGGGGAAGAGGAGAAAGAGAAGGAGGAGAAGCTGAAGGTGAAGGAGGAGAAAGAAAGAAGGGGGAAGAGGAGAAAGAGAAGGAGGGGAAAGAAGGAAGCAGAAGAGAAGGGGAAGAAGGAGAAGGAGAGAGGAAGAGAGTCAATTTACGTCTTTATGTAATCTTGGTATGAATTTTTAAAGAGAGTGTCCTAATTCATGTCTGACTGAAAGTCTTTTTTAAAGAAAGCAATACTCTCGGGTTTAAGATTCCGATTTTAGCATCCCCTGGATTGTCCTGCTGGAGAGAGGGGGAGGGGGGAGAAAGAGAGAGAGAGAGAGAGAGGGACAGAGAGCGAGAAAGAGAGAGAGGGACACACACACACACAGAGGGACAAAGAGCGAGAAAGAGAGAGGGACAGAGAGAGACAAAGAGGGACAGAGAGAGGGGGGAGGGAGGGAGGGACAGAGAGAGAGGGTCAGAGAAGAGAAAGAGGGACAGAGAGAGAGATAGAGAGAGAAAGAGAGAGAGAGAGAGAAAGAGAGGGGGGACAGAGAAAGAGAGAGAGAAAGAGAGAGAAAGAGAGAAAGAGAGGGGGGACAGAGAGAGAAAGAGAGAGGGACAGAGAGCGAGAAAGAGAGAGAGGGACAGAGACAGAGAGGGACAGAGAGCGAGAAAGAGAGAGAGGGGGACAGAGAGAGAGAAAGAGAGGGACAGAGAGAAAAAGAAAGGGACAGAGAGAGAGGGAGGGAGGGACAGAGAGAGAAAGAGAGAGAGGAGGGGGAGAGGGAAGGAGAGAGGGGAGGGAGAGAGAGAGAGCTTTCTTATCGGAGATCAGAAGCAGGAAAGACTGTTTTATGGCTTAGCAGTTAATATTGAGAATTTTAAAAACCTCCCTCCCTCTCTCTCCTCACACACACATTTATATATAGTGTCTGTCTGTCTTCTCCCTGTCTGTCTGTCAAATTTGTGTGGCGCCCATTTCACAAATGGGCGCCACACAACAATCCAGGAAATACCGTCAATCAATCAATCAATCAATCAATCAATCAATCAGTCAGTCATTAGTTAAAACTATTTATAATAATTATTTGAAAAGAAGTAAAAGCAGAGCACCTTGGGCTCCGTT